GGGCTCAGAGCTCTCAGCAGCACCTTCTTCGACTCGGAGACATTCAGGGAACCTCCTTGGAGGGAGACGTGCAGGACCACGATCTCCTCCTTGCCTTTGGCGGGGGCTGGAGCCTGCGGGGGGATCAGCGGGCTCGGGGTGGGGACAAGGACAGGTCCCGGGTGACCCAGAGCACGCCCGGCCCCAGGAACCCCCCACACCCAGGGACCATTCCGGGATAACCGGCTGAGCCTGGCTTTGTCAGTGCGAGGGGCAGGCCCTGCCGCAAGACAGGGAAAGTCACATCTGTCCCCAGCCCTGATGGAAACGGCCTGGAGGCCCCCCAGGCCCACCCGGCTGCTTTGGGGTGACACTGGGGTGACACTCACAGGGAAGGTGACGTTCAGGTGCAGGTGAGGCTCCAGGACCTCTCTGCTCAGCAGGGTGGTGGGAGGGGTCCTGCTGTCCCCCTGCAGCTGGACATGGAGCTGGACGGGCCCCTGGAGGTCACTGAGGTGCACCCAGAGCGTGGCAGGGTGAGGGTGGTACAGCACGGCCGGGGACACCACCACGTAACTCCTGCCAGGGACAAGGGACACGAGAGCCCTGGGGTGAGGCACATCCAGCACAAAGACCTGGAAAAGCTCCTGAGAGCACAGGAACCCCCCCAGGCTCCCCTCTCTGCTTCTGGGCTTCTCAGCTCAGCTCTGCAGGTGAGGGCACAGCAGCTCCTTGGAGCCACCAGAGCCACCAGAGCCACCAGGGCCACCAGGGTCGTGTCTTCAGTGCTCCTGGGCAGGGAGAGCCCCCAGCCTGGGCAGCAACCAGGGCATGGGAGGGATTGAATCCCCCCAGGAACTGCCAAGAGGCTGAAGATCAACCACCCCAGCAGGCACAGGAGGGACTGAACCCCACCAGGAACTGCCAGGGAGCCAAGGCTAAAGCCCCCAGCAGGCACAGGAGGGATTGAACCCCCCAGGAACTGCCAGGGAGCCAAGGCTAAAGCCCCCAGCAGGCACAGGAGGGATTGAACCCCCCAGGAACTGCCAGGGAGCCAAGGCTAAAGCCCCCAGCAGGCACAGACGGACACAGAGGGGACTCACGGTGCTCCAGAGGCCCCGGCTGAGAGGAGCAGGATGGTGAAGAGGATGGGAAGGGCTGGAGACATCGTGTCCGCAGCTGGATGTGGATGTTGGGAACAGCCACAGCCTCCCCCTGCAGCTCTTGGCTCGCTCTGGGTCTGGGTCTGATCCGCTGCAGGCTCTGCAATGGATCCTGGTGTCCCACCCACTGAGGAAATCGGGCTGGCACAGGAGCCCGGGGCACCTGCAGATAAAGCCCAGGCAATGTTTGCCCTCTGCCCACAGATTCTGGGGGTCAAGGACTCCAGGGATGTTTGCAATATTGGGAAAGGTCCCTGGAGGTTCAGTCTGGGCAGGACTCCACACAGGTTTGCTGGGAAATGATGTCAGAAGGCAGCGGGAACACATGGGAAATGAAAACAGGGAGCACAACCTCAGGAGGGGCTGGGAGCTGGGGGTGATTTCTCAGAAATGAAAATTGACAGGTATTTCAAATTTAAACAGATTTGGGCAGGTCACATGTCCCAGGCTGGCTTTTTGCCCAGTTTCACCCAGTCTGGACAGAGGAACAGGACAGTGTGGGGATGTGGCATGGCCCATCTGCTCCCATTCCACACGTGGGAGCTGGACACATGCCAGGGCAGGGCTGAGCTGCTTCCTGGGGTTCTTCACATCTTTTATATGTTAAGGTTGGGATTAAATGAGTGAGATGGTATTTTTTGGGGGGACTCAGATGTTTATTAGTTCTTATCTATGTTACACTCTCACAAACCCTGAGTTCTACAGCACTTCTCTCTAACAAGGTAAAAATGGAACCCAACATCTCTCTCTACAAGAACTTTAAAGGATAAGCTGTCCAATTGTTAAAATTAATTATTTATTAATTAATTATTAAATTATTTTCACTTTTAACCCAATAAGTCCAATTGTTAAAATTAATTAATTATTAATTAATTATTAAATTATTTGCACTTTTAACCCAATAACTAACCACCCGTGCCCTGCAAGGCAGGCATTTTCATCCAATTACACAAAACCACCCAAACGCGGAGAAGGAGAAGGAGAAGGAGAAGGAGAAGGAGAAGGAGAAGGAGAAGGAGAAGGAGAAGGAGAGAAGAAGAAGGAGAAGGACCAGCCTCCGTCCTAAAACCTCCATCTTTATATCTATTACTATATTCTAAAACCTTCAACTCTAAGTTTTCCACCCTGTGATATTTCCACACTTCTATTGAAACTCCACACGCACAATCCCAGTGCTATAATTCAATTTTGGAAGCTTCTCCACGGCCTCAGGTCAATGCAGTGTTCTCTTGGGGGTCAGTGCCTGTCAGCACAGAAAGTCCAAAATTCTCTGTTTCCAGGGTTCCAACAGCTTCCCCGTGTCCTGGTGGGAATGTGGGAGAGTTGAGGGGCTCCACGACAGCCCCACAGTCCTGAGCACATCCCCTGCTCTGGGGCCTTGCAGTTCCCTTCCCTTTGGGGCTGTGGGAACCATGGAATCTTGGAATGGTTTGGGCTGGAAGGGACTTTAAAGCACTTCCACCCTACCATGGCAGGGACACCTCCCACTGCCCCAGGCTGCTCCAATCCCATCCAGCCTGGCCTTGGGCACTGCCAGGGATGCAGGGGCAGCCCCAGCTGCTCTGGGCACCCTGTGCCAGGGCCTCACAGGAAGCCATGGATGGGGCTGACCTTTTCCATGGGATCTCAGCTGACCACAGCTCTGTCCCCATGCCTGCCCAGCTCAGGTTTTGCTGGACACAGCTCTGTGCCCACCTCCCTGCCCTTTGGAGCAGCTCCAGAGGCTGTGGGTGGCCGGAGGGGCTGGACCTGCCACCCCCAAGGACACGAGGCAGGGGCACGGCCCGAGTTCACCCAGTCCTGCCAGGATGTGGGCAGGGGTCAGTGCCCTGCCAGACATCCTGGATGGGACGAGGAGCTCACGGCTCCCCCATCCCTACCAAGGCCACTGCTGTCCCCAAGTGCCACATCCACAGGGCTGTGAAACCCCTCCTGGGATGGGATAAGGAGCTCACGGCTCCCCCAGCCCTACCAAGGCCACCGCTGTCCCCTGTCCCCAAGTGCCACATCCACAGGGCTGTGAAACCCCTCCTGGGATGGGATCCCAGCTGTGCCAGGGCTGGGCACCCCAAGCAGCCAGGCAGGGCAGGCCTTGGAGCACCAGAAAAAGCAAGGTGTTCCCAGAGCCCCCCTGCCAAGGCTTTTTCCCCTCCTCAAGCTTTCACCTCCCACTGCCAGTGGAAAATCCAGGGAGGGCTCTGGCTGGGCCCTGCCCCTCCAGGCAGGACAAGGTTTTGCCCAGAGCAGCTGTGGCTGCCCCTGCATCCCTGGCAGTGCCCAAGGTCTGGCTGGATGGGATTGGAGCAGCCTGGGGCAGTGGAAGGTGTCGCTGCCATGGCAGAACTGGATGGGCTTTATGGTTTCTCCCACCCAAACCATTCCATCATTCCACTGATGCTCAACCCCCAAACCCAAACTTTGGGCAGCCAAACCACTACCAGGGTGGGGGTGTGGTGCCCCCCCAGGCCAGCTCAGAGCTGACAGACTACGCCACATGTTGGGAATCCTGGGAAACAGGAAAGGATTAAAGGAGTTTTCTGGGATGTGGGACCTTCCTGTGCCCTTGGCCATATCCATGTGACATCTCCTGATCCCGTGGGATGTTCCTCATGGGAAGCCTCTTTGCAGTTTGGTGTCAGATGATTGCAACAGATTTGAAGGATTTCCTCCATAATCCAGCTCTCCTGAGAGCAGGAATGGTGCCAAACCAGAGCTCTGTGCCCGTGGTTTACACCTTTTATCCCAGAGTGGGAGGGGAAACCTTGCCCACCCTGCTCCCCACAAGGGGACAGCCACACCCTGCCCTGTCCCTGCCCTGCTGCCACCCTGGGGTGCTGACACAGGAACTGCTCAGCTGGGAAGAAGCCAGGAGATCCCAAATCCCTGCCTGGCTGCAGGGAACCATCCAGCTGTTGGATGGGTCATGGTTCAGAGGCCATGCAGAGGCACCTCCAAATGGGATTGTGCCCAGGTGGGCATGATCCAAGTATTGCTGGGAATTTGAGGCTTCAATGGATGCTCTTCTTGTGCATTTACTGGTGCAGGGAGAGCTCTGCCTCAGGGGCAGCCCCAGAGAGGGTAACCCTCACCCTGCCGGGTGCTCCTCACACCATCCCTGGGGTGGGGATGCTCCATGTGCCTGGTGCTCCATGTGCAGGGTGCTGTGTGTGCAGGGTGCTGTGTGTGTGCAGGGTGCTGTGTGTGTGTGCAAGGTGCTGTGTGTGTGTGCAGGGTGCTGTGTGTGTGCAGGGTGCTGTGTGTGTGTGCAGGGTGCTGTGTGTGTGCAGGGTGCTATGTGTGCAGGGTGCTGTGTGTGTGCAGGGTGCTCTGTGTGTGTGCAGGGTGCTCTCTGAGCAGGATGCTCCCTGTTCAGTGTGCTCCATGTTCAGGGTGCTCCCTGTTCAGGGTGCTCCCTGTGCAGGGTGCTCTGTGTGTAGGGTGCTCCCTGTTCAGGATGTTCCATGTGCCGGGTGCTCCATGTGCAGGGTGCTGTGTGTGCAGGGTGCTGTGTGTGTGCAGGGTGCTCTGTGTGCAGGGTGCTCTGTGAGCAGGATGCTCCCTGTTCAGTGTGCTCCATGTTCAGGGTGCTCCCTGTGCAGGGTGAAGTCTCCTTGAGCAGCTGGATCCCCCTCAGCACAGCCAGGACACAGCAGCAGCTCCAGACTCTTTAATGTCCCACCCTTGGCTCACAGCTCAGCACCAAGGATGCTCTTCCCCCCCGGGATGCTCTTTTCCTCGCAGCAACCTCCCTGGACCTCATGTGCCCCCCAGGCCACATGCTCTGGGCCCCTCCCCAGAGCTGGCTGCACCCAAACAATATTCCCGGGGATGCTCTTTTCCCCCCAGCAACCTCCCCTGGACCTCATGTCCCTCCCCAGGCCACATGCTCTGGGCCCCTCCCCAGAGCTGGCTGCACCCAAACAACATTCCCAACTTGTAGGAGCCTCTGGAAGGAGAATCCGTGGGGGAGCCCAACAGTCAGGGGTGGAAAATGGGGCTGTGAGTCCCCAGCCCTGCCTGGACCATCCCTGCTCTGCCCAGCGAGGAGGCAGAGGCCATCCTGGGGGACAGCCAGAGCTCCAGGGGGACAGCCACAGCTCCGGGTCTGGCAGAGGGACATCCAGGGGATGCACAGTCACAACAAGGGGTTTTAGGGGGCACCTTGCTCTGGTTTTGGGGGCACCTTGCTCTGTTTCGGGAGTGCTGCCTGGTCCCCATCCTGCCCTGCTCTGCTCCCCTTAGGGCACCATCCTGCTGGGGCGGTGGCAGGGCTGCAGGACACCTCCTCAGGGGACAAGGGACACCGCCCTGGTGTCCCCGAGGGACTCACTCCCTCTGCCTATTTTCTGCTCCTGGCTGTGCCCCCCTGGCCCTGGGGGCTGTCCCTGTCCTCCCCTGGCCCCAGCAGAGGCTGCTCCATGTCCTGGTCTCCGTGGTCACTCATGGACATCTCGGCCAGGGCATCAGCCATGGCCTGGTGGACACTCTCAGTCAGCTCGGGGACATCCTTTGGGCTCAGGCCCCGCGTTTCCACCCTGGGTAGGACTTGGATGGTGCAGGTCCCTGGGAGAGAAGGGAAAAGCCAGGGAGGTGTTAGAGGACCCCACCAGGAACTGGGTATTCCCCCAAGCATCTTCCACCCCGGCTGCCTCCCCACCCCCAGGTGCCTCATCCCCAGCACCAGCCCTGCCCTCTGCCATGGGAATTCCTGTCCATCCCTTACCAGAGGTGAATCTCTTCTTCTTGGGGCTGAAGAAGTCGCAGTATGGGGAGATCACAATGGGGACAATGGGAACCTGCAGAACACAAAGGGTTGGGGGGGTTCCCCAGAGAGGGCCCTCCCCAGGCAGGACTCCTGCTCTCGCCTGTCCCTCCCTGGTGCTGCCCAGCACCCTGTCCCTCCCTGGGGATAAAATCCCTCCATCCCTGGGGACCAATCCCCTCCATCCCTGGGGACCAAACCTTGCACATCCCTGGGGACCAAGCTCCCCATCCCTCTGCCCCAGGGTTCACACCCACCCTGCTCAACCCAGGGTGAGCCAAAGGGAAAGGAATAATTTTGGAAAAGGCCTCCACGACCAACGAGTCCAACATTTGATTGACCACTTCCTTACCTGGGCCTGCACAGCCAGGTGGAAAGCGCCACGCTTGAAGGGCAGCATGGATTTGCCCAGGTTCCTGGTGCCCTCTGGGAAAACCCACACACGGAGCTGCAGGGAACAGGGACAGAGGTGACCCTGTGTTTTGGGCTGAAAGATGTGGCTGGGAGTGTGTATTCTATGGCCATCTGTTAGGGTGGGGCAGTTATCTGCTGTTAACTGGGCAGTTTTCTTTATCTCTCCCACAACTAACCCTCTCACGAGATCTCTGCTGTTCATGGGCCATTGACTATTAATTATCTCCTGTTCATGGCCAGTGAGGGTCCCTGCATGGCTGATCAAATTCCAGCATCCCATGGGGAGATGCTCCGCCCAGGGCAGGAGCCAAGCATTCCTACCTGGATACAATCTGAGCCTGGAACAGCACAGCAGCCTTTGGCCACTGCATTCCCAGAGGAGCAGCTTTCTCCTGCCCTGCATTCCCAGAGGAAGAGCAGGCCCATCTCCAGCAGCCCTGGAGCTGCAGAGGAAAACTCCCCCCTTGTGCAGGATCCCTGCTCCAGCAGAAGCACAGCTGGCACTGCAGGAGGGCTGAGCCCCCATGGGATGGGACTGTGCCACCACCCTGACCCACAGGGGGTCAGGGCATGTTCTGATTCTGCCAGTGGTTGTTGTTTTGTTATTTTTGTTTTTTGGGGTTTTTTTGTACTGTTGCATTTGTATTTTAATTTTCCTAAAAAAGAACTGTTATTCCTACTCCCCTATCTTCGCCTGAGAGCCCCTTAATTTCAAAATTATAACAGTTCAGTGGGAGAGGGTTTACATTTTCCATGTCAAGAGAGGTTCCTGCCTTCCTGAGCAGACACCTGGCTTGTCAAACCAAGCCACCCTGACCTCAGCTGGTCAGTCCTGCCCACAGCCTATGGCATTCACATTCTCTCAACACGATTCCTTCTCCCAGGGTTTTTCTCCTGGGAAGCTGAAAGGCAGCAAGAGGCCTCAGAGAAAAGAACAACAATTCTTATCTAATTTGCTTCTCCTGTGTTGTGCTCATGTGTTTGATTGTTTCATTGCATTCTGGTGTGACTTGTTTTGACTCATTGGCCAACTGGGGCCAAGCTGTGTCGGGACTCTGGAGAGAGTCACGAGTTTTCATTATTATCTTTTTAGCATTCTGTAAGTATCCCTTCTCTATTCTTTCGTATAGTAAAGTCTAGTATCCTTTAATATAATGTAGTATAATAAAGTAATAAATTAGCCTTCTGACAACATGGAGACAGATGCATCGTTCTTTCCTGCCACGGCGCTCACCGTGTAGGAAAGACATTTTCATGCTGCTCTTGTGAGCCAGCAAAGGCTTCTTGGAGATAAGGAAAGCCCCATATCTCTCTCAAGGAAGGCACCAAGCCTATCACCATGACAATGTGATGACAGAGAGAAAGCTAAAAGATCCAGACTTCAGCTGGCTCACAGGATGACGCGGCTCCTTGTTCACCTATTGAGAACTTTGTTTCTTTCTTATGACCAATGGGCCGGTGTATGTGTCTGTTAAGTAACTGCAAATATCTTGAAAAACTATAAAGGCAACACGTTGCTATAATAAATTCCTCCTATACACCCTTCTGACGGAGTCTGGATGCTTTGCGCCGTGTCGCGCTCTGTAGCGACGTCGCCGTGCGTTTACAACAACAGCCCTGACCCCGCGGTGGCCCCAGCCTGTGTCCCTCACGTTCTCTCGCCGCATGGCGCTGGCGGTGTGGGAGATGACCTCGATGGCCGCGTCCCTGCGCTGGCGCTCGATGAAGATGACGCCACTGAGCCAGCAGGCCCAGCCCACCGTGCCCAGGTAGAGCAGCTCCCGCTTGGCGATGGGCACGCAGCGCTCGGGAATCACCTCCACCATTCCTGGGGCATGGAGAACACCCATCAACACCTTCCCGACCCACGGCATTGGCAGCAGAAAAATCGCCTGGGAAAACTGCTTGGAAGTGGAACCCCAGGCTGGACAAACCAGCTGGATATCAGGAATAAATTCTGCAGCTCAGCCAGTCCTGAGAAGTGATAAATGCAGAGAGGAACTCTCTGCAGGGGCCAAATTACATCAGTGCACAGATTAATTAATCATTTATACCCTAATCTATTTTATACCTTAATTAATAATTTATACCCTTATATAGGTTTGGGTTATTTTAGCCTTGACTTAAAGGACTTTAAGCTGTCCCCAGTCCCAGGACCACCCTGTGGCATCACCTCCCATTGTCTCTCCTCTCCCTGCAGCACAGCCTGTCCCAAAAGCTCTCCCGACCCGTTCCCAGCACACATCCCTGCCCTGGTCACGGTGCTGACTCCCCAAAACCATCCTGGTGCACCCCTGGAGCCCCCCGAGGTGCCCCCACGCACCCATGAGGTCGAGGGAAGCCTGGTGGTTGCAGACGATCACGAAGGGCCCCGGCAGCCGCAGCCGCTCCGAGCCCCTCACCTGCATCCTGATGCCGTAGAAGCGCTTGAGGGGCAGGACAGCAGCCCGCAGGAGCCTGCGAGAGAAGGGACGAGATAGGGGAGAGACAAGGGAGAGATAAGGGAGGAGATAAGGGATGAGATAAGGGAGAGACAAGGGAGAGATAAGGGAGGAGATAAGGGACGAGATAAGGGAGGAGATAAGGTGGAGAAACACGTGTGGGCAGCGGCTCTGCACCGGCCTGGGCGGGCGGGGTTAGGCTGGGCTGTGCTGCTGGACCCTGGCTCAGGCTCAGGGAGGTTTGGCTTTGTCACACATTGCAGCCTGTGAGGCTCAGAACTCACCTGGCTCCCACCTGAGCTGGGCCCAGCTCCTGGCTCAGAGCAGAGGGAGCTGCTGAGGAGGGAGAGTGACCAGCACGAGATGGTGGCAAGGAAAAAACAGGACTTTGATGTCCAGGGATGATGGGAAAGCAAAAAGAGAAGGGGTGGGATGGGGATGGAGATGGGGGTGGGGACATGGGGATGGGGACATGGGGACAGGATCTTCACATCCCGACGAAGACAAACTGTCTCTGCCGGGGGAGGCTCCCCAGGTGCTCAGCTGGATCCCTGTGTGGACGGAAATGCAGATCCCAGTCTCACAAAGCCAGAGTGGATCCAGCAGGGAGGAGCTGAGCTGGGCATGGATGAGCCCTGGGGATGGGTGGTAGAGGGACAGACAGATCCCCAAGGACATGGGTGACCCCAGGGACTGCCTCTGCACCGCTTTGTGCGGCAGGGGGAAGGGAAAACCAGCCCGGACATTTCTTAGGGGAATCACAAATGGCTCCACCCGACCTGCAGTGTGGGGAAGAGAAGGTTCTGAGCGGAGCAGTGGTGTCACATCCCGGGAGGGTTGGACAGGAGGGGGAATATCGGGATGAGTGACGCTCAGGATGGGAATAGTGAGAGGAGTGGAGGGAGGAGGGGGCACCAGGGATTCCAGCAGCTGTGGAGACAAAATCCTGGGACGCATCGGTGTTGGAGTGGGGCACTGTCTGACCCGCAGATGGTCTGTGCCAGGGTCGCCACGTCTGTCACTGCCCCCAGGGGACAGCGCAGGGGGCAGGGAAGGGCTCAGCACCTGGCAGGGTGAGAAGGGAGCAGGAGGCACAAGGTCCGCGGTATCGCCCCCATCCCTCGGGAGCCGCAGGCTCGGAGATCCCAGAGGATCCGAGGAGAAACGGTGCCCAAAGCCAGGACTAATGACAGGGAAGCGCTCCGAGCCGCAGGCTTCGGGATTCGGAGGAGAGGGAGCTGGGCGTGCTGCGCCCGCACGGAGCTGTCGGTGGGACGAGATAAGGCGGCGCTGATAAGGCGGGTGAGTCACAGCCCCGCTCGGCACCGCCGCTGGGCCGGGAGCGTGCCTTTGGAGCGGCCCGGGTGCGCCCGGCACCCGGCGGGAGGGACCTGGGACAGGCTGCAGCACCGCCGGGAGCACCGAACCACGCCGGGAACGCCGAACCTTGGACTGATAATACCGAACCACCGCCGGTACCAGCGAACCTTGGACTGATAACACCGAACCACCACCAGTACCAGCGAACCTTGGACTGATAACACCGAACCACCACCAGTACCACCAAACCACCGCCGGTACCAGCGAACCATCACCGGGAACAACGAACCTTGGACTGATAACACCGAACCACCTCCGGTACCACTGAACCATCACCGGGAACACCCAACCTCGGACCGGGAACGCTGAACCACCTCCGGTACCACCGAACCTCAACCTGATAACACCGAACCTGCGGCCGCGCTCCCGCCGCGGGCCGGGATCCCTCGGCACAAATCCCCAGCGAGTTTCTCAAGCTGGGATATTGTCCCTGTGTAATTGCATCCCTCCTGCTGTGCTCATCCTGCCCGGGAATCCAGCAGCGGGATTGCAACACGGCGAGAGCGTCTTCCTCCGGTGTTGCACTTTGATGTTATCTCCCCTGTGTTATCTCCCCGGTGTTATCTCCCTGGTCTTATCTCCTTGCTTCCACCCTCGGGAGCAGAGTCGGGACATGGCTGTGATCAGAGCGTGGCTGTGATGGGCACAGGGCTGTGCCCCTGCCAGGTGATGGCCCCAAGAGATCCCAGAACCATAAAAACGTGGAATAGTTTGGGTGGGAAGGGACCTTAAACCCACCCAGCATCACCCCCGGCCATGGGCAGGGACACCTCCCACAGTCCCAGGCTGCTCCCAGCCCCATCCACCCTGGCCTGGGACACTTCCAGGGATCCAGGGGCAGCCATGGAATAATCCGTGCCAGGGCCTCTCCACCCTCAATCCCTCTGCCAAAGTGCTGTTCCCGGGTCTCCCATGGGCAAAACCAGAGCCAGGGGCACAGCACTGGGCATGTATTTGCCCCCTGCCCTGATGGTACCTCCAACCCCCCCATTACCCACCCAGGTGATGACCCCAACACCACCATGGCCAGGAATGATCCCTTTTATGTTATTTCATCCCTCAGGGACCACAAATCCCAGCTCCAGCATGGCCTGACCTTCCCTGGGCACAGCCAGCACCTCTCACACCACAAGCTGCACTCCACTGCCCCACGGATGTGACCACAGGCCTGGCCTTGGCCCCAGGGCTCCGCCACCAGCTGTGACCCAGCTGTGGCTCCAGCCAGGGCAGGACAGAGCCTGTGGCCACAAACCACGGGATCTCCTCCAGCTGAGCCAAGCCCCAGCCAGCTCTGCCCAAGCCCAGCCCGCGCTCACCTCATGTTCTCCACGGAGCGTCCCCGGAAGGCGGCCAAGGGGGACAGCAGGGTGGCCAAGGCCACGATCCAGCAGTTGAAAAAGGCCACCTTGCAGAGGAACTGGAAGGGGGGGCTGCACCTGTAGAGCAGCAGCGCTGCCAGGGGCAGCAGCAGCAGCCCGGGGAGCAGCAGCAGCAGCTCCATGGTGCCGCCCCGAGCTCAGCCCAGCAGCGGGGCAGGTGAATCAGGAGGATCCTGCGTGGGCGGCCGGGGCTGGCCCAGGGGAAGGCTCGCTGTGGATCTCATCCCGGGCATGGAGTGGCTCAGGTGGAAGCAGGACACCCACCCAGGGGTGGAGAGTGGCCGTGAGTCACACGGGGACCCTGAGTCACCAGAGCTGTCACTGCTGTCACCTCCTGAGCTATTGACATCCATTGCAGAGGCTCCAGGTCGGTAAGATCAAACCTGTTGCTCACTAAACTCTTCCTGTCCCGGGAATCTCTGCTGGCCACGGGGCTGCCAGCCCTGGGAAAGGGAGTCTCAGCTGGTGAGGACAGCAGGAGCTGCTCCTGGTCCATGGCCATCACCCCAGCCAGGCTGGGCACAGCCACCTGCTGGCAGCCAAACCTCACCCTGCAGAGCATCCGATTGCTGGAAAACATCTCCCACCTGGAATGACAGCAGGACCGTGGCACCTCTGCTCCCCATCCCTTGCTCAGTTTGGGCAGCAGGAGCCCCTCTGCCCTTCCCCTGCCAGCTCCCAGCATCTGTGCCCAGGGTCCCACAGTGCCTGGGGCCGGCTCTGCCGCCCTGCTGCCAGCCCGGGCTGCAGGGGGTGGTGGCCCTTGGCCCACTTGGCAGCCAGGGGCTGTGTTGCATGAGGTGTTTTCACGGGTGCAATTAGCACAGGCTGTAATTAACCTCTCCTCCTGCTCTGGTGCCTTGCAGGATCCAGGCCAACCCCCTGGAAACTCCTGGAACCAAGTCCTGGTCGCAGCAGGGACACTGGGCTGGTGTCACCCCCAGCAGCCTCCCCCAGCCCCGCTGGGCCAATCCCAAATCAGGGAATCCCAGAATCCCAGGAGGGTTTGGGTGGGAAGGACCTCACAGCCCATGCAGTGCCACCCCTGCCATGGCAGGACACCTGCCACCATCCCAGGGGGCTCCAAGCCCCGTCCCACCCAGCCTGGGACACCCCCAGGGCTGGGGAAGGAGGGACATCCCTGAGCTGCTGCCAGAGCCCTCAGCTCAGTCCTGACCTCAGGCCAGGAGCAGTGAGATCCCCTCGTGCCTCCCCATAACAGCCCCAGCGGCGTCTCTGGGGTCTGCCTGTCCCCCCAGGCCACTCCTGGGCAGTGTCCCCTCTGCTGGGACCACCCCAGTCCTCCTGCCTCCCCTGGCAGGACCTGCCCTCTGCCCCGCTGTGCCAGGGCTGCCCTTCCACCCACGCCTCCCCCCTGGCCCCTGGAGGTGACAGAGATGTCCCCGGGCTCTGGCCATGCTGGAGGGTGCCCCAGTTTGACCAGCAACCCCGGGGTTACGTCCACCAGGGGTGTTGCAATGCCCATTGCTTCACCCTCCCATTCCTCTCATTATTCTCATATTAAAGCAAAGATTGGGTCACATCCCGAGCCCACCCTTCCTGCCCAGCCCATTCCAGGTGACTCCTCACTCCTCCTTCCCTTCTGTGTCCATGGGGGAAGGTTTGCACACCAGCCTGGTCTCCCATCAAACCCAGCTTTGCTTTTGGATGCCTCCTTCAGTCCCTCCTGGCTGGAGGAGCTGGACCTTCCTGCTGGAATCCACCGTGATCCTCCTGCTCCACATCTGGGAGCTCCTCCAGGGGCCGGGGGGGGGGAAATCTGCCCATTGCAGAGCTCAGGGAAAGGAAATCCCACATTCCACTGGGCAGAGGAGAGGCAGGGCAGTCCAAGGAGGGCGTTTAAGGTGCCTTTCTGCATCCTCAGAGCTCCAGAGCACCGGCCCTGAGGTCTCCTGCCAGGAGCTGTGCTCCAGGGAAAAGCCTGGAACCCCCCAAGGGCACAGCAGGGCTGGCACCCCTCCACAGGGCTGGCGAGGTGGCACAGGCAGGGGACAGCTCCCAGCACCCAAAAGCCTCCAGTCCCCCATTCCTCCTGCTTCCCGGGAGCAGAGGGGTCACTGAATCCTGGGAAACTCCGGGATTTCCCTCTCAGGCTGCTCTCCCCAGCACATCCCCCCCAAGACCCAGCTCTGCCTCTGCTCAGCCAGGAGATCTCACTCTGGAGCTCCAGCACCGCCCCAGCACCCCCTCACCCCCCCAGACCTGAGAGACCCCCTCCTGACACCCCCCAAGCACTGACAGACCCCCCTCAGCCCCCCCAGGCGCTTCCAGACCCCCCCACACGGCTCTGGGTGCCCCCAGCCCCGAGGGAGCCCCTGCACTCAGGCACGGAGCCACCAGCTCAAGTAATTACAGATGCTTAATTAGCGACAGCAGGGCGCTCTCTTAACAAAGAGAATTAATTACAGGCAATGCTGCATTGAGAGCTGGAGGGACTAATGAGGGCTGGGACCATCCGCTGTCCCCACCCCCGGGGACAGCACAGCCTCCCGGTGGCCTGGAGGGGACCGGGGTGTCCCCAAGGCTGGGACAGGGGTGGGACACCCGTGGGACAGCCCTGGGACAGCCCAGCCTGGGGGCTCAGCAGGGAAACCACCCCAAAACCCCAACACCGCGGGAAGGGTGCAGCATCCATCCGGGATCTTCGGGGCCGAGGGAGGCAGAGCTCAGAGCCCTCCCTGCTCTGCGGTGTAGAACTCTGTGGGGATGGGATGGGATGGGATGGGATGGGATGGGATGGGATGGGATGGGACGGGATGGGATGGGATGGGATGGAGGCAGGGAGCAGAGAAGCTCAGCCGGGGGTGGTGGAAGCTTCAGGGAAAGCTGCTCCTGTCGGGGCCATGGGGACAATGTCCCCCAGGCTGTCCTTACCCTCTGCTGGGGGCACGCCGGGTCCCACGGTCCCGGTGGCGCTGGGGGGCGGCGGGGGGGGCACAGCTCTGCTGGAGAGGAGCGAGGACAGTCAGTGACGATGGACGGTGTCCCCTGGCGGTGCCACACCGCGCTGGCACCGAGCCCCGCCCGGCACTCACCGCCCGTCCCCGGGCGAGGAGCGCAGGAACCGCACGGGGGCCGGGCCGGGCACGGGCCAGGGCATGTAGTGATGGTGGAAAACCACGGCCTCCTCTTCCTCCTCACCCTGCCAAGGCCCCGCCAGCACCTGCGAGAGGGGACAGAGGCAGGGCAGGGCTGGGCTCCGGGGCTCCGCTTGCCAGGGATCGCACCCGACTGGGTGAGCTCGGTCCCACACAAAGCCCGGGGGGACACGGGGGGGTGGCAGCCCCACAGATGGGGCCGAAACCCCGTGGGAAGAGCCCTTTGATCTGTCTGAGAGCCGTTTGAGCAGGCAGGGTCCAGCCCTGGCCGGCCCTGCCCTGGTGGCACTGGGAGGGCAGGGGGTGGGTGCCAGGAGGTGCCAGCTGGCAGCGAGCTCAGCAGCTGCCACAGCCCAGCCCTGCCCCTAAAGCTGCATTGTTCCCCCCAGGGGGATGAAATGTTTCATACGGTTTTGTTCTGAGGTGGGTTTTTAAATGGCAGCCCCTGCAGAGCTCCTGCTGGGTTGGGCTGTGCCTCCAGCGGGTCCCAGCTCTTCCCAGCTGGGCTGAACCCCTGCCCGAGGCCTGGCTGCTGTCTGAGCTGTCAGAGCTGTCAGAGCTGGGCTCCAAACAAAGCCCCAGAACCCCAAAGGGCTGCTCTGAGCTGGGCTGGGACCAGCCAGGTGCTGCCCCCCGAGGACGGGGTGATCCTGGACAGCCCTGGGGTCCCTCTGCCCCCTCTTTGGTCCTTCTGCTCCCTCTTTGATCCCCCTGCTCCCTCTTTATTCTCTTTGCCCCTCTTTAGTCCCTCTGCCCCCTCTCCAGCCCCTTTACCCCCTCTTTGGTCCCCTTGTCCTCTCTTTGGTCCCTTTGCCCCCCAGCCCCCCGAGCCTCACCTGGGCAGGGGCTGGGGCTGGCCCCGCACCCAGGGGCATCAGAGCTGCCATGGCCAGGCCGTGCATCAGCAGCTGGTGCATTTGGGAGGTTTGAATCAGCATCAACTCCATCAAATCTGCCCGAGAATTGGAGATTGTGCATCAGAGAGGGAGCAGAGGGAGGGCAGGAGGGGCAGAGCCTGGGATGAGTGCCTGGGATGGGGCGGCCCCAAGGCTCCTCCCTGTTCCCAAGCAGCGGGAGCACAGCCAGACTTCCCCCACCCCGCTTTGGAAGCCTCGTGTGGTGTTTAGTTGCTTGGACAAAGCTTGGAAATTGCCCTATTTGAGCCTTTTCTTCCTTGCAAACGCGGCTGAACATCTGGGCTGCCTCACGAGGGGCGATTGCTGGGGCTGCAGGCACCAGAGCTCCCTCCCACCCTGGGGGAGCCTCTGCAGCCCTGCAAGTGCCCAGGGCCGTGGGCAGCAGCTGCCCTGGCAGCGTTCAGAGCCCGGCCCTGCTCTGGGCACGGGGCTCAGAGGGAGCTGGGGCTGAGCCCGGGCTCCCATCCCCACTCCTGGGCTGGATCCAGCTGGGGGATGCTCAGCGCCTCCTCAGCTCCTGCCTGCTCCCCGTGAGGAGCACTGTCCCTGTGCCCTTGGCTGGAGGCCACACTGGGGGTGGCTGCTGAGGCCCGTCCACACAGAGGAAGCCCCAGATCTGCCTCTGCACCCCAAAAAACACCCCCGTTTTCTGCAGATGTGAAATTCCAATGGAAAATTCTTATAAACCTGCTGGATTCCCCTGAGATCCTGCTGGCTTCATCCACCCTGAGCAGCTGTGGCTGCCCCTGGATCCCTGGCAGTGCCCAAGGCCAGGCTGGACACTGGGGCTGGAGCAGCCTGGGACAGTGGGAGGTGTCCCTGCCATGGCAGGGGGGCACTGGGTGGGTTTAAAAAGTCCCTTCCAGTCCGAACCATTGTGGGATTCCCTGGTTCCATGGCCTGGAGCTAAAAAGGGTTTGGACCACCCCGTAGCCCATGTGCAGATCCCCAGAGGCTCCCGAGCTGCCAGGCTGGCTCCCAGGACAGCAGGAGGTGGCTGTCCCTGCAGGCAGGAGCCCCCCAGCCCCTCCTGGGGCTCTGTGAGCCAGGAGCACCCCAGGGGCTGAGCCAGGGTGGGACACGGGCTGCTGGCAGCTCTGGGTGGATCCATCGCCCCACAGGGCCAGCCTGGCTCTCTTTGCTTCCACACTGCTTTGCAGCATCCTTTTTCTACCCTGGACTTTTAAGGACAGCTCCACCTTCCCCCTCCCCCCAGCACAAGGTGACTCTGGGTGGTGTGTCCCCAGGGACCACAGCCCCTGGCCCCGCTGTCCCCAGTGACCACAGCCCCTGGCCCTGCTGTCCCCAGGGACCACAGCCCCTGGCCCTGCTGTCCCTGCTGTCCCTGCTGTCCCTGCTGTCCCTGGCCCCCACAGCCCCCTGGCCCTGCTGCCAGCCCCCCCAGCCCAGATTGCAGCCTGGGGTACCCGGGTGGGTGAAGCCCCTCCAGGCAGTGGCACAGCCCAGGGCTCCATTCCCACTCAATCCCACCTTGCAGTTCAAGGAGCCTGTCCCACCCCGGCGTTCCCTGGGGAAATGTTGCCATTTCCAGCAGGGAATGGGGTTTTGGAGAACAAAAACAGCTGAATTAAAAACAAAAAACAAAAACAAAAAACAAACAAACAAACAAAAAAGGCAAACAAACAAAAAAACCAAAAACCAAATAACCCCCCCCAAAAAAAAACCCACAAAAAACCCAAAACTAACCAAAACAACCAAAAACCAAATAACCCCCCCAAAAAAAAACCCACAAAAAACCCAAAACGAACCAAAACAAACAAAGAAAACCCCCCCGCAAAAAAAAAAAAATCCCCAAAAAAAAAAAACAAACAAACAAACAAAAAAGGCAAACAAACAAAACAACCAAAAACCAAATAACCCCCCCAAAAAAAAACCCACAAAAAACCCAAAACTAACCAAAACAAACAAAGAAAACCCCCCCGCAAAAAAAAAAAAATCCCCAAACAACAAAAACAAAACAAACAACCAAACTAACAAACCATAAGAAAACCAACCCCAAATTGTTCCCCGGGAGCACCTTGGAGCCCGGAGTTGGTAAAACCCCAAAAAACCCCCAAATCCGCACCCCGCGGTGCTGAACGCCCCTGCAGGGCGGGGTGGGCACTGCTGGGCCCCCTGCTCCCCTGGAAAGGGCTGCCAGGAAGGAGCCCGGGCCCGCACCCACCTCCCCGCACGGGCGGGGGTCCCGCGGGGGCGGCCCCGGGCCCGGGCAGCTGCTGCAGGATCAGCACCGGCGGCCGGGACTCCGGGACGGCTCCGGGGGGCGATGGCACGGCGCGGGGCTGCAAGGCAGGAGGGCAAGGGAGAGCCGGGGCTGCACCTTCAAGGGTTAATGCCCCGGGCAGAGGGGCACAGGGGACAGAGGGGACACGGCTGGGGACAGGCGGGACAGCGACAGGGCTGGGGGCAGGACAGAGGGGACAGGGCTGGGGGCAGGACAGAGGGGACGGGGCTGGTGGAGGGACCGAGGGGACAGGGGTGGTGGAGGGACAAAGGGGACAGGGATGGTGGAGGGACCGAGGGGACGGAGAGAGTGGCCCGGGGGAGCCGGACCGGAGCCCTGGAGGAGGGAATTTGCTCTCCGCTGGTTTTCCAGGGACACCGCCCTCCCATGCTGGGTGACTCCAGACCTGCAGCGTCCCCACCCCTGGGGACAGGCCCCCGGGCACTGCTGTCCTTTCGGGGTCCGCAGGGCGTTTGCAAACCCCGGTGCCCACCCAAGCCCCCTGTCCCAAGCCCTGTCCCCTCTCCACCCGTATCCCGTCAATCCAGAGGCAGAAGCGCTCCGGGGCTCACCCCGCGAGGGACAGGGAGGGTCCCGGCCGGGGGGTGCCCCCAGAGCCCGCGGGGGTCCCCGGGCGCTCCCCGCTCCATGGCTCGGGATCGTCTCCAGGGCTCCCGGGGGAAACAAACCCTGCCCGGGGAGGCTCGGCCGCGCCTGGAATGTCCCCGGGCTGCTTCTCCCGGCAGGAAATCCCCGGGAAGGGCCCTGGGGACGCCGGCCGGGGGTGTTCTGTGTCCCCACGGCGCTGGGCCTCGTGGGGAGGGGTGAAAGGAGCAGTTAATGGCATCCGAGGCTCATTAGGGAATGGGAGGGACACTGCATTAATGAAGTCTCCCCAAAGCTATGGATGGAACCCCCAAAAATTTGGGTGGCAACGCCAGAGACCTCCAAAATTCTCAACTAGAATTGGGGTTGGAAACCACAGAAACCTCCTCAAAATTTGATTATGGGACATCCAATGTCTCCCCAAAATGGGGGATGAGGCACCCAAAGTCTCCCCAAAATCAGGGATAGGAGCCCCAGAGACCCCTGTAATATTGGTTATGGGATCCTTAAACATCTCCCCTAATACTGGAGGATGGGACTCCTAGGAACCCCCAAAAGTCTTCCCAAAACTGGGATGGTCCCTGGGATATCACCCACCCCCCACCGATGTCACAGCCTCGGTGCCACCTGGGGTCCCTGGGGTGTCCTTGTCCCCGTGCCACGTCCCCCGGGCTGTGTCCCAGCTCCCTGCACCACGTCCCCAGGCATGCAGTGACCACGGAATGAGCAGGAAGTGCCAGCAGCAGAGCCTGGCTCCAGACTGCTGCTGGAGCCTCCCCAAAATTTGGGATGAGACCTTCAAAAACCTCCCCCAAAACTGGGGATGGGAGCAACAGAACGCCCCCAGCGTCTCCCCAGAATTGGAGATAGGAACCAAACATCTTCCCAAAATTTGGATAGGAGCCCCAGAGACCTCCGAAAGTCTCCCCAAAACTGGGGGTGGGAACCACAGAACCCCCCAAAACCTCCCCATACTTGGGACCCCTGCCGCAAGGATATTATCCTGTCTAACCCAGGATATTCCCGAGGGGATTGGTGCCCACAGAGCACAGCCAGCTCCTGGCAGAGCTCAGCGTGTTCCCCCCATCCCAGGAAATCCTGGGAATGGGGAGTCTGCAGGAAACGCTGAATTCCAGCAAAATGCCCCCTGTGCCCCTGGAGACCCCAGCCCATCCCACGCCCCACCCCCGGCCGCTGCTCTGGGGGATTTCCATGGATATCACATCCCAGATCTGCCGTGCCCCGGCGCCGATCTGGGATCTTTTCCAGGGGTTTCAGCCCGCGGCCAGCTCTGCTGGGGAACAAATCTCTCCCAAAACTCGTTCTGCCCCAGAATGGCACCGGAGACCCCCCCCAAATCCTCCCCCCGATCCCCAAATCCTCCCCCCACCCCGAGCCCGGCTGCCTCAGCCCCCAGGCCTTGGCTCCAGTCCTGGCTATTTTCTGCTTGATTGGGTTTTTCTCTGTGTTCCTAATTTTCCCGACCCCCTCTGGATTGCTTTTCTGCCTTTTGTTATAATCCTAAATTCCCATTATTTGCCATTTAATTACTGTGCTGCTTCCTGCCCGTTTTGGCAGAGCCCGGCTGGGCCGATCCCGATCTTGTCTCTTATCTCCCTTTAGGAGGGATTCAAACACCGGGACGGGGGTGAGGAGTCCAAGGGAGCCTCGTGCCAGGACTGGGACATGAGGGGTGACAGGGACCTGCTCGGAATGTCCTCAGTGCCCCCTCGGGGGGACATTGCTGGCAGAGGGGAGGGGAGGAGGAGGAGAAGGAGGAGAAGGAGAAGGAGAAGGAGAAGGAGAAGGAGAAGGAGAAGGAGAAGGAGAGGGAGAGGGAGAAGAGAGAGGGAAGGGAATTTGGGGAGTTTTCTTGAGCCAAAGCAAGCACAAGCAAGGCTGGTCCCAAGCGTGTTGTGCAGCAGGGCAGGGCTCAGGCTGGGCTCAGCTCTGGGCTGTGCCTGGCTCCAGCCTGTCCCCTGTGCCCTGTCCCCTGTCCCTTTTCAATCCCCCAGGACATCCCCTCAGCCCAGCTCCTGCCCCTGTTCAAAGCCAGGGTCACGGAGTAGGGCTGCAGGTCGGGTGGGGACAGCCCCAGGGCAGGGGCCCTGCTGGGGGAGGAGCAGGAGGATCCATGGCAGAGGGAGCTGAGTGGCAGGGCAGGATCTGCCCAGGAAAGCAGAGCCTGGGCACAGGGACGTGCCAGTGTCCAGGTGGGATGGGGACAAAGGCAGCTGTGGCTGTGCTGTCACAGGTCACTGCCCTAGGTGGGAATGATGCCCCAGCTGGAGGTGCCACCTCTGCTGACCTTGGAGTGTTTGGTGGGGACACATAAAACATAAAACATCCACTGGGAACACCCAGAAGGGATCAGAGGAGCCCCAGGAGGGATCAGAGGAGACCCAGGAGGGATCAGAGGATTCTCCAGCTCCGATGGGGACAGATCCTGCTGTCCCCTGGAAGAGCCACCCAGTGCCAAGGACACCCTGAGGGTGCCCAGCAGAGGATTTGCTGCCGTTGGAAGCTTTGCCCTCTCTTACAGCTGCTTTTGGATTTCTTCTGGAAACCCTCAAACCCCTTCCCTACCCCCAGCCCGGGGCTGGGATCTCAGCCCTGTCCCTGCTGAGGCCAGGAGAGCCCCAGGAGCTTTGGACCAGGAGTTTCCTTGTCAGGACCAAGGCTTTGGAATGGGGTCAGTCCTTGGGGACCACACCCCCAGCCCAGGGTTGGGATCTCAGCCCTGTCCCTGCTCAGGCCCAGGAGAGCCCCAGGAGCTTTGGACCAGGAGTTTCCTTGTCAGGACCAAGGCTTTGGAATGGGGTCAGTCCTTGGGGACCAGGAGGGACAGGGATCTCTGCCACCCCGGGGCCCTGTGGGTGTTGCTGCAGCTCCTGGGATGGGATCAGTGTGGTCCAGCCCCTCTCTGCGGCATCTCCCAGCTTTGGGAACACAAGAGCAGAGGCAGGCAGGGCACGGGGCGGGTCAGACCGGGAGGAGCCGAGCCCTGAGCTGCCCTGCGGGTGACAGCACATCCCTCTTGCCACTTCCCTTCCCGGGACACCAAGCGAGCCAGGGAGATTCCCAAAGTGAGGAAACCCCGGCAGGATCAGCAGCCTCGCCCAAGCCTCGGGGGAGATGAGGAAACGCTGCAGCTGAGGCAACACATCCCCCCAAGCTGCTGCCTCCCAGCGCTCCCAAAACCAGTCCCGGACCAGTTTGTCACTGCACGCGGGGACAAACCCTGGCTGTGGGATGGCAGAGTGGAGCTGCTGTCCCCTGGGCTGTCCACCATCACTCTGTCACATTCAGGACTCCCCTCTGGGGACGTTCTCTGTGTCTGGAGCTGTGAATGGGTTTAAGCTCCTCGTTTTGAACGATAACTACAAAAAATCCCCTTTCCCTCCCCAGAGCTGCTGTCCCCTGGGCTGTCCACTGTCACTGTCACATTCAGGACTCCCCTCTGGGGACGTTCTCTGTGTCTGGAGCTGTGAATGGGTTTAAGCTCCTCGTTTTGAACGATAACTACAAAAAATCCCCTTTCCCTCCCCAGGAGGTCTCACGCTGCCTGTGCTTTGATCTGCAACGTCCCCAAGCTGTCACCAGCCATCGAGAGCTCCTCTTCCCCCGAATTCCCCTCCCCAGACTTGCCTCCGTCTAGAGGAAAAGCCCAGGAAGAGGCAGCTGGCACGGGCGGGGAGCCCAGCTGGCACAACTCCGGTGGGATGGGCACCACCGGTGACCCCAGACCCCCCTAAATGAGCGTTTGTCACCTGCAGGAAGAGTCCTGACAGTGACTTCCTTTGCTTTGGAAACGGCTGAGTCACCCCGAGCTGGCGGCGGGATCAATGGCAAGGGCCGGGGCAGCCTCTGGGGACATCCCGGGGCTCGGCGGGGACACAACGGCAGCCCTGTGCCCGAGGCAAATCCTCCTGTCCTGTCACGTCCTGTCCCGTCCCATCCTGTCCCGTCCTGTCCCGTCCTGTCCCCTTCGCCTGTCACTACTGCCACTGTCACTGCCACATGAATGTGTAATATGCGTTATAAAACGCCAAAATCGCGCCCCCCAAAGCCAGGGCTGGGCAGAGCTGGGGTCAGTTTGCAGCAGGGTCTGGCTGTCACACCTCCAGAGCCCACCCCAGCACTTCCTGGGCCAGGGGGAAGGTCGGGAGGGGCTCGGGGTGTCCCAGGGAAGAGAGGCAGGATGGGGCCGGGGACAGGGCTGCCATGGGGACGGCAGCGCTGCCGGTCACCCTGGGGCCAGCAGAGTCACCCTGAGGTCAGCAGAGTCACTGTGGGCCAGCAGAGTCACCCTGGGGGCAGCAGAGTCACCCTGGGCCAGCAGAGTCACCCTGGGCCAGCAGAGTCACCCTGGGGCCAGCAGAGTCACCCTGGGGCCAGCAGAGTTACCCTGGGGCCAGCAGAGTCACCCTGGGCCAGCAGAGTCACCCTGGGGTCAGCAGAGTCACCGTGGGGCAGGGCTGGAGGCAGTGCCCCTGTCCCTGCCAAGGGATGTGACCCTCTCACCCCGCACCCCGCACCCATTCCCACAGCCTTTCTCCCGCTGTTCTCCAGCGGTTTTCCAGCAGTTCTCCAGCTGTTCTCCAGCGGTTTTCCAGCCCCGCGGCCCCCGAGGAGCCGGGAAGGGCTCGGTGTCCCCCTGGGCACCCCCGGGCCCGGCTGGGGGTCCCTGGGGCAGTGCCAGCCCGGGTCCCTCCCGAGCCGCTCCATGCCAGCCCAGCGGAGGGAGGAGCCTCCGGCAGCGATCCCCGAGCGGTCACTCCGGGCTGGCGGGGACGCGGAGCCAGCGGGGACACGGGCAGCGACAGCGGGGACACGGGCAGCGACAGCGGGGACACGGGCAGCGACACCGGGCGGGCCCAGAGGGACACGGGGCAGGGCTGGGCAGGGCAGAGGGGAGAGGGCAGGGAGGCGCGGGGCACCCCCGCAGCCCCGGCTCGTGAAGGAGGAGCTGGGCTGTCCCCAGACCCCCGGGGACAGCGCCGGGACCCCACGGGCTGCAGCCATGGAGGGTCCCCGGCAGCCGCCCCGGCCCCGCTCGCTGCTGCTCCTGCTGCTGCTGCCCACGCTTCAGGTGAGTGACCCTGGGGACAGCGCGGGGACAGGGTGGGGGCACCGCCATCCCCCCATGCCAGCCACCCCAGGGGCTGGGAGCAGTGAAGGGTCCTGCCCAGGGTGGGGCTGCTCATCCCATCCCATCCCATCCCATCCCATCCCATCCCATCCCATCCCATCCCATCCCATCCCATCCCATCCCATCCCATCCCATCCCATCCCATCCCATCCCATCCCATCCCATCCCATCCCATCCCATCCCATCCCATCCCATCCCATCCCATCCCATCCCATCCCATCCCATCCCATCTCTCATGCCCCAGACCTGGGGGATGCCCTGCCAGCCCCCCCTGGGGACTTTCCCACAGCTCCTGGGGACAGTGTGGTGACAATGGTGCTGCTGGGACCCCCAGGACCGGGCAGTGCTCAGGGACCCCCAGGGCAGAGGTCCCAGGGATGATCCCTTGGGAGTGGATCCTCCACCCCACATCAGCCAGAGTCCTACACCCCTGGAGGAGCCCGAACTCCCTGGGGAGCACCCCCAGGCACAAGGGTTGGGGTGCAGGGGACAGGGACAGCTGTGGGTGATCCCCAGACAGGGCCATGGGCATGGCTGGCACCAAATCCCTGCGGGAACGGGGGCATTGGGGTGGTTGTGCTGCCCGAGTGAGGGAAACACCCCTGGGCTGGTCAGGCTGCTCTGGGGAAAGGGAAAGGGAAAGGGAAAGGGAAAGGGAAAGGGAAAGAGGGAAAAAAAAAGGAAAAAAGGGAAAAAAGGGAAAAAGAGGAAAGGAAAAAAGGGAAAAGGAAGAAAGGGGAAGGGGAAGGAAAAGGGAAAAAAGCTAACAGGGAAAAAGCAAAAAGGAAAAAGGGAAAGGGAAAGGGAAAGGGAAAGGGAAAGGGAAAGGGAAAGGGAAAGGGAAGCTGGGCTGTGGGAGCACTCGAGGCTTGCAGGGTTTTGGAGACTGATGGCATCAGGGCCCTTCCAGCAGGGAAACTGAGGCACAGCAGGAATTCCCTGCCCTTCAGGGAGCTCGGAAGGGAGCCCTGCACATTCCCTGTGCCTGCTCCAGCATCCTGGCCCTGCTGCCATAAATAACAAACCTAACCCAGCAGCTCTGCAGCTAAAGAGGGGTGAGAGAAACCCCCCTGCCCCATCCGTGTCCCCCATCACTGGCAGGATGGAGGAGGAGAATTCCTGGGCCTTCCCAGTGCTGTGCCCAGAGCCATCCCCAAAACGCCTTTTCCAGGCTGGAAATTCCCTTGAAATCTTGTGTTCAGCAGGAAAAGGAAACAAAATCTTCTGGGGAGGTGAAGGGACGCTAAGGAGCAGCTCAGCCAGGGCAGGGCAGGGCAGGGCAGGGCTCAGCCACGGGATGCTCACACATCCCACACTTCCCTCTCTTGGGAAACTCAGGGACTTGACCTCATTCCTCTGTTTCTGCAGTTCTGACATCTCTGGCCTCTCACCTCAAACCATCAGCAACCCAAACCCAGGTCTGGGCTCCAGACCTGTCCCAGGCAGCCCTGAACCTGGATGCTGCAGGGATGCTGGGGAATGGGCACAGAAACTTGGGAATGGGCACAGACACCTAGGAAAGGGCACAGACACCTAGGAAAGGGCACAGACACCTGGGAATGGGCACAGACACCTGGGAATGGGCACAGACACCTGGGAATGGGCACAGACACCTGGGAATGGGCACAGACACCTGGGAATGGGCACAGACACCTAGGAAAGGGCACAGACACCTGGGAATGGGCAGGGACACCTAGGAATGGGCACAGACACCTGGGAATGGGCAGGGATACCCGGCAATGGACAGGCAGAGTTCCTGGCATCTCCAGTTCAGCCTCAGTGTCCCGGTTCTCCAGCTGGGAGCTGAGGAGGCAAATCCCAAAGCAGGGATTCCCAGACAATCCAATCCCTGCAGCCACCACACCTCTCACATCTTTGGGATCTGGATATTCTCCCTGGTGCTCCATCAGCTCTGCTGGCAAAGCCCAGAGCTGGGAATGTGGGGTTTGCTGTGCCCACATCCCACTGGGATAGTGGGAAGTGGCCGTGCCCATGGCAGGGGGGGACTGGGATGGGTCTGTGGTCCCTTCCAACCCAACTCCATGACTCCATTTCCACAATTCCACAATTCCATGATTCTCCTGCCTGCTCTTTCCCCTCTCCAAGGTGCAGGGGACTCATCCCGACTGCTCCATCGTCCTCCACTTCCAGGAGCTGGAGGCGGAATGTCTGCAGAGGATCCGGAGCGAGCGGCAGAGCCCGGGGCAGGCGGGGCAGGGTGAGCCCGGGATCAGCTCCCTGGGAGCAGGGAGGAATTCCTGAGGGGTCCCTGGAGGGTGGTCATGGGAGAGGATTGCAGATTTGGGATTTCCAGGGAGATGGAGAGCAGCACCAAGGAAAAGGTCAAGGAGAATCCCTGGAGAGCCCCAAAAATGCTGTTGGGATGGGATAGAGGGGATTGGGGGACACAAATAACAGCCACAACTCAGTCCTGGTGGATTTAGAGAATCCTGGAGTGGCTGGGATCGGGAGGGATCTCAAAGCCCACCCAGTGCCACCCCTGCCATGGCAGGGACACCTCCCACTGTCCCAGGCTGCTCCAGCCCCAGTGTCCAGCCTGGCCTTGGGCACTGCCAGGGATCCAGGGGCAGCCCCAGCTGCTCTGGGCACCCTGTGCCAGGGCCTGTGGAATATGGCAGTGCTGGATTGGTCCATGCCCCTGGCAGAGTCCCCTGGATCCCCCTGCACCAATGCCAGGGCTGTGACCACCAGCACCTGGGTCACTCCATGGTGTCACCATCTCACATCTGCTCCCCTTCCTAACTCAGTAAATTGGACTGCCAAACATTTTTTGAGCAACTCAGTTTTCTTATATCTGGGGTTTTAAATGAATTAACTGGTTGAAAAACCAATTTTCAAGTGCTGCTTTTGGACATCATTTTTTAAATTCCATCTCAGTTTCCATCCAAAAGTGGAATGGCCCAAATCCCAGGCAAAAATTGTCACCTGGAGAATAAGGAATGCATAATTCCAGGGGTTTCATCTCATAGCAGTGGAAAAATTAAGCAATAAATGCATATGAAGGTGCATAATTGCTTAAGTAACTCTGCAGAGATGTCATTTATCCTTCAGCTTAACATGGAAAATCCAAATTGATTGGAAAAGGTCCATTTTGCAACCTGAATTGTGCCAGCCAAGGGGAAGGAATCTCACTGCAGGAAAACATCCGAGAAGTGGGAATGCCTAACTAAAATCTGGATTTAATCCTGGGGCTCCTGCTGCCCCCATCCCTCCGAGCTGCATTCATCCCTTTCCCTGCTTGCACCAGTGTGGGGAGCCTGACTCCAGGACAGGCTCAGATCCCACGGACAGGGTGGGAGGGTCCTGGGATCTCCTTATTCCTAATTCTCAAGATCCCATCCAGCCCTGCCCTCTGGCACTGGGAGCCATTCCCTGGGTCCTGTCCCTCCATCCCTGGAGCTTCTCCTCTCCAGGTGAGCACGCCCAGCTCTCCCAGACTTTCCTCTTCCATTCCTTGCACCATTTCCATTGCATCCTCTGGACTATGGGGGCTAAAATTCCAGAGGAGGCCCTGGAGAGGCTCCAAAGGCTCCTCTGGATCCAGGCTGGGACAGCTGGGTGGGCTCACCTGGAGAGGAGAAGCTCCAGGGAGAGCTCAGAGCCCCTGGCAGGGCCTGAAGGGGCTCCAGGAGAGCTGGAGAGGGACTGGGGACAAGGCCTGGAGGGACAGGACACAGGGAATGGCTCCCACTGCCAGAGGGCAGGGATGGATGGGAGATTGGGAATGAGGAATTGTTCCCTGGGAGGGTGGGCAGGCCCTGGCACAGGGTGCCCAGAGCAGCTGGGGCTGCCCCTGGAACCCTGGCAGTGCCCAAGGCCAGGCTGGACACTGGGGCTGGAGCAGCCTGGGACAGTGGGAGGTGTCCCTGCCATGGCAGGGGTGGCAGTGGGTGGGTTTCAGGTCCCTTCCCACCCAAACCATTCCAGGATTCCCTGCTCCCATGACCCCCAGGAACTGAAGTCACTGCTCTCAGGGATGATCCCAGTTCTGTGCTCGTTTCCTGATCCTGCAGAGCAAAAACCAAACCCCACTTTGGCATTGTGGATGCAAATCTCTCCCTGCCAGGAATGACACCCCCAGGCTGAAATCAGAGGAAATTCATCAGACCTGTCCAGTTCCACATTCCCTGGCTGGGAATGGACGTGGCTCCATGGATAATGTGGATCTGCAGGATTAATGATGGAGCTGTGCTGGGACAGGAGCTGGCCTGGAGTGGGATGGCCTTGTCCCACCCTGGGCTGCTGCACCACGAATTCCCCCAGCCCTGAGTCTGCCTGGCCGTGCTCATTGCCAAGAAAATTGGAGAGACTGAAACAGGAATTCAGTGCTGGATAGGGAAGCAAAAGCCGTTTAAGCTGATGGCTCGAAGCAATCCTTGCATGACTCCCTTCTGTCCTTGGGGGCACATCCCGAGCTGAGCCTCCAGGTGCAAAAAAAACAATCTAAATCTGGGTTAATTCAGGAGCCGCGGGCAAACCCCAGCCCACGGCACACGCAGGGTGCTCCCACTGCAGGTCGGTGAGACGCAGCCCCAGGAGCTCCCAGTCCCGAGCTGAAAGGGATCCCGAGGTGCCCAGGAGAGGAGCCGGGATGCTCCCGGTGCCTGCGGGCACGGAACAGCACGGGGACAGCAGCCGGGATGCTCCCGGTGCCTGCGGGCACGGAACCCGGGACAGCAGCCGGGATGCTCCCGGTCCCTGCGGGCACGGAACCGGGACAGCAGCCGGGATGCTCCCGGTGCCTGCGGGCACGGAACAGCACGGGGACAGCAGCGGGGCGGGGCCGGGGCTGCGGTGCCACCCGCGCGTCCCCTCCCGGTGTCACCGCAGGTGTCACCTGGTGTCCTGTCCCTCCCCAGGCTGCCCGACCGAGTGGGACGGGGTGAGCTGCTGGCCCGCCCTGCCCCTTGGCCAGTCCCGAGGTGTCGCCTGTCCCGAGATCCTGAGCGTCTTCAAGAAGTCCAAAGGTCTGATTCCAGCGGGGATCGCTCATCCCACGGCCCCACCCGCCCTGCCAGGGCCTCCTGAGCCACCCCAGCCCTTCCCTCGGACCCTACAGCTCCTGCCTCTCCCAAAATGTCCTCGGTGGAAACTGCGGTCCCGGCAGGGACAGGAAAAGCAGAGATTCAGGGAGTGCCACAGCAGGACCCAAATCCTTTCATCCTCTGTGGGTGGAGCCCTTGGGGACCTCATCCTCCATCCTGGTGACACCAGGACAGTCCCCTCGCTGCCCTCCTTTCCCACACACCAGCCCAGTGCTCCCGAGCTGGCTCCATCCCTCCCGGAGGGTGGGAAGGAGAGCTCCCACCGGAGCATTGCAGCACTTCCTCAGACAGGAGTAATGTGGGAAATGTTGGGAAACGTTTGCTTTGGGGCAGGAACAGCTCAGGAGAGGCTCGATGGGGCCCTCACAGGATGAATGAGCACGTTTGCAGCCTTAATTCCCAATGCCCTTCCCCAGAAGGGATCTGTGCTTGTTTCCACACCCTGTCCAAAGTTTTCCTGGCAGCTCCAGGCACAGGGGGGATGATGGGGTCCAGAGGGAGTGAGATGGGATCCAGAAGGAATGGGGTAGCAATGGGGTTTGGGAGGGAGGGAGGGATGAGGTCTGGGAGGGAAGGGCAGTGATAGGGTCCAGAGAGGGCAGTGATAGGGTCCAGAAGGACCAATGGGATCAGGGAGGGTTGGACAGCCCATGGGTACCACGCCGCTGTCCCTGTCTGTTCCAGGCCGGGCATTTTGGGGCTGCCATCAGAGGTGACACCCGTGGCTCCCCTGAGGTTCCTCCTTGTCCTGCAGGGCTGATCCAGAGGAACTGCACCGAGTGGGGCTGGAGCCGCCCCAGCCCCCCCTACCACAGCGCCTGCCAGCTGGAGACCCTGGGCAGCAGCAACGACACCGAGGCCAAGGCACGTGGGACCCCTGGGGCTGTGGGGAACTGTCCCGATTTCCCCATGTCCTCATGGCCCCATGTCCCCAATTTCCCCATGTCCCCATTTGCTCATGTCCCCATATCCCCACACTGCCCCATGTCCCTGTGTCCCCACATCTCCACACTGCCCATTGGCCAAAGAACCATGGATTTGCTCCTGAGTTATTCCATCTCCCCTGGCTGTGCCTGCTTGCCCCACACCAGCACTTCCCAGTCCCTGTCCCCTCCCTCCACCGGTGCTGTCCCTTGCAGAGAGGCCATTTTGTCACCATGAAGGTGCTCTACACCTGTGGCTACTCCACGTCGCTGGCAGCGCTGCTCCTGGCCATCGGCATCTTCTGCTGCTTCAGGTAGGGCTGGGAGCTGCTCCAGCCCCACGGCTGGAGGGACACGGGATAAAGGGCTGTGGGGAACTGTCCTGATTTCCCCATGTCCTCATGGCCCCGTGTCCCCAATTTCCCCATGTCCCCATTTGCTGATGCCCCCATATCCCCACACTGCCCCATGTCCCCATTTGCTCATGCCCCCATATCCCCACACTGCCCCATGTCCCTGTGTCCCCACATCTCCACACTGCCCATTGGCCAAAGAACCATGGATTTGCTCCTGAGTTATTCCATCTCCCCTGGCTGTGCCTGCTTGCCCCACACCAGCACTTCCCAGTCCCTGTCCCCTCCCTCCACCGGTGCTGTCCCTTGCAGAGAGGCCATTTTGTCACCATGAAGGTGCTCTACACCTGTGGCTACTCCACGTCGCTGGCAGCGCTGCTCCTGGCCATCGGCATCTTCTGCTGCTTCAGGTAGGGCTGGGAGCTGCTCCAGCCCCACGGCTGGAGGGACACGGGATAAATCCCAGCAGGAATGGCTGCCCCCAGCCTGGTCCCTCCTGGAGCAGCCAGGACCCATCCCAGCCAACAGGAAAACTGGGAAGGCAGGAGAGCAATGGCAGCGTTGTCCTTGCCTCTCAAGTTCTGGTTTTGCAGATGTCCCTCTGTTGCAGGTCTGGGCTTTTCAGAGGTTTCTGGGATGTTCCCTTGTCCTTGAGCAGCCCCAAGCACAGCACAACCCTGCTCTTCTGATTTTAGAGCAGGAAAGCTTCTCTAGGGCTTTGTGACCATCACCAGCAGTGATCCCTGGGAAGGGGACACCAAAGCACCTTCTCTGCCCCTGTTTGGGCCCAGCCCATCTCTCTCTCCTGCAGGAAGCTGCACTGCACCAGGAATTCCATCCACATCCACTTCTTCACCTCCTTCATCCTGCGGGGCACGGCCGTGTTCATCAAGGACCGCGTCCTCTTCTCGGACGAGTCCATCGACCACTGCACAATGTCCACGGTAAATCCCAAACCCCAGCCTGGAGCGGGGCAGGGAGACCAACAGGGGCTCCTTGGGAGGGGGCTGGTGGGACCTGGGGGATTTAGCACTGCAGAGAGGAGACAGAGGCTGTGGGAGGGAGGAAATTCTCTCCTGGGTGGCCCTGGGCAGGTTCAGCATTTCTGCATTTCCCTCTGTGCAGGGAACAAGTTCTGTCCTCAAAACTGCCACTGGCCTCAGGCTGAGTGTCCCCAGTGCTGTCCCCAGGGGGGGCTAAAGCTCAGCACAGCCCACCAGCACCAGGTACTGCTCAGATCTGAGGTTTCCAATCAAACAAGAACCCCTGAGTGAAGACACAGCACTGAGAACGCCACAGACACAACCACGGGTTTTTAAAGATCCTACAAAACCAGCCCGTGGTCACCTGCCCGTGGGGCACAGAGCCTGGTGTGGGTGATGTGAGGGGCTGGGGCAGAGTCCCTGGGGCTGCACTGAAAGGCCATCACTGAAAGGTCATCAGAGGTGTCCTCAAGAGGGTGGACATGGGGGTGACAGTCCCCTGCGCCCCCAGGGCAGGGTGTGCTGCACCCTGAGCCGTCCCCTCGTCCCCTGGCAGGTGACCTGCAAGGCAGCCATCGCCTTCTTCCAGTACTCAGTGCTGGCCAACTTCTACTGGCTGCTGGTGGAGGGGCTGTACCTGCAGACGCTGCTGCTGCTCACCTTCACCTGCGACAGGATCTACACCTGGGGCTACGTCCTCATCGGCTGGGGTGAGCCTGGAACAGCCCAGACATCCCTGACATCCCTGGGCAGGAACCACCTGGGAATGGCCTGGTCTGACCAGGCCAGAGCTCCCCAGGGCTGCTCCCAGCGTGTCCCCACCCCGACATCTCCTGCATGGCCTTGGTGGGCACACACCTGCTCCTGCCAGAGCCCAGAGCTGCTGGAAGCGTGGCCTGGTCAGGACAGCTCCTCCCTTCTTCCCACACCCAGCTGGGCTGGGAACGCCCATCCCAGGTGCCTGGGTGTGATGGAGGAGTGTGGGGGCAGGAGGGGGGCAGGAGGTGACACAGACACAGCACCATCAGTGGGCACCACTTCCTTCTCCTGGAGAGGGGGGGAAGGTTGTCACCTTCCTGTCACATCAGAACTGGGCTAGACACATGTTTCTGGGGACAAGGGACAGAGGGGTGGCACAGAGGCTTCCCAGAGCACTGGAGGGACCATCCCTGCCTGTGTCCTGTCCTTGCAGGTGTCCCCATGGTCACAGTCGGGGTGTGGGTGCTCACCAGGCTCCAGTATGACAACCACGGGTAAGAGCAGCTGTCCCTTGGCCTTGTCCAGGCCACCTCAGCCACGTGTCCCAGCCCAAGTGCTGGGAAATGGACCTTTGGCATGGGGTGGGTGCTCAGGAGGGGAGGACTGGGCCTCCCCTTAACTTTAACTCCCCTTAACTCCCTTTAACTTTATTTAAATGTTATTTCTGTTTTCTGGTGGGACCTGTGGCAAGAGGGGTGCAAAGGGGTCAGGGGTCTGGCCAAAGAAATGGCAGAGGGACAGCTGGGCCACATGGGTCCCAGTGGGTGCCAGAGCCACCTCTGCTGTCCCGTAGGTGCTGGGATGACTACTCCAGTGTGTACTGGTGGGTGATCAAGGCTCCCATCCTCCTGGCCATATTTGTGAGTGTGTTCCCTGAGAGTCCCACCCCAGAGCCAGGGTCCCACACGGCCAGGGGACCCGGCCAGGGGCTGTGCAGAGCCTGAGACGTGGCCTCCCGGGACAGGTGAACTTCCTCATCTTCCTCAACGTCACCAGGATGTTGGCACAGAAGATCCGGTGCCCGGACCTCAGCAGAACCCACAAGCAGCAGTACATGTAAGGGGACAGGGCTGTGGGGTCCCAGGGCAGGGGGACCCTCCCTGGAGGAGCACAGAGGGCAGCCCTGGAGCCTCCACGAGCTGCCTTTCACACTGAACCTACCTGGGGTTAAGACCAAGGTTTTGGGGAGCTCTCACGGGGCAGCAGGAGCACCCAGCCCCTGTCCCTCTCCACAGGAGGCTGACCAAGTCCACGCTGCTGCTCATCCCCCTCTTCGGGGTGCACTACGTGGTGTTCGCGCTCTTCCCCGAGCACGTGGGCGTGGACGCCCGGCTCTACTTCGAGCTGGTGCTGGGCTCCTACCAGGTGAGATGGGGGGGAGAGGCCCCGTGGCCCCACCCCAAATCACACCAGGAATGCCTGGAATGTGAGGCTTTGGCCTCTTTTGGGAAAGGGTGTCCCCAAACACCCGGGGCAGGGCACAAGGGTTGGGCCAGGAGAACCTGGCACTGATTTCCTCTGTGGTGGGTCAGAGGTGTGGGAGGTGGTAGAGGCAGGGAGAAGATGAGCAAGAGGGGTCCAGCCCCTTCCTCTGGGTGAAAATTGCTCTGCCTGTCCTCTCCAGGGCTTCCTGGTGGCTCTGCTCTACTGTTTCCTCAACGGGGAGGTGAGTGGGTGTCCCCACCCCAACCCCGGGCACCACAGCGGGCACGGGGACACCCCGAGGGTGCCCCAGAGCCAGGGGTGGGCAGGGACAGTTCCCCTCCCCTTGCCCCCCAGTCCCCTCCTTTGGGTGCTGTCTGGTGCCCCTGGGTGCCAGCACTGCCTTTGGTGTTGGGCAGGTCCAGGCTGAGATCAGGAGGAACTGGGGCACGTGGCAGAGGTCCATGGAGAGCAACGTCTTCAACCTGGCCACCCAGGACTTCACAGCGTGAGCAGGACAGCGCTCCTGGGCTGGAGCAGCTCCGTGCCCCCAGAAAGGCCCAACCCCCCTGATTTCGGGGGTTCTGGGTCTGACACCTTCAGAGGGTGTTGGGAACAACCAGAAAGGCCCAACCCCCCTGATTTCGGGGGTTCTGGGTCTGACACCCTCAGAGGGTGTTGGGAACAACCATGGGAGAGGCTCTGCCTGCTCGGTGCTTGTGGATCTTGCACCCTGTGGTAGCACCTCACCCCAGGGCTCTCTCTGCTTTGGGGCAGAGTTTCAGGAAAGGGAAGAGAAGTTCTCCAGTTTTCTGCCTGAAACTGGGGAGGAACACAAAAATCCCTCTCCAAAGGACAGCTGGTGGGTTTTGTTTGCACTGAGGGAAAAGGAGCAGCACCGATACTGGAGGGATTCACTGATTGATGCTTTCCCCCTTCCTTTATTTATAAAATCATTTCCCATCTGGGAAGATTCCTAAACACAGCCAGGAGCACCCCTGGGGGTGTGGGGAGGATACACCTCTACAAGAGACCCCCAGTGGCCTCAGGACCCAGTTCCTCCCCAGTTCCCAAAACGCTTCCCTTTCTCCTGTGTGGGTTGATCAAATTGGAGATGTTCCCTTGCCAGGAGAGCTCTCCCAGTCCTTTGCTCTGAGGAATGGGACTCATCTGGCTTCCCTGGGGGGTCTTTTTCCAGGGACAGGAAGGGCTTTGACAATAAAATCTCATTCCAAGTCCAGCCTCACTTTTCAGAGTGTCGGTTTGCTCCACAAACCAAGAGAATTTGGGACTGGGGTCGCTGCAGGATGAAAACCCTGCCCATGATGGAACGCCTGGAAGTACCTCCTAGGCAATCTCTGCTTTTCCCTTGCCTGGTGAAGCTCACAGAGAGGATGTGGAGGAGGAAGGGGAGGAAGATCTCGAGGTGGGGGCACCAAGAGCTGTCCCAGAGGTCCTGGGTGCCCTGTCCCCTCTGGGTGCCCCCACCACCCCCAGCCTGTTCCACCACCATGAACATCCTTCATCCTCCCAGACCGAGATCCTGCCCTGGGAAATGGTGCCTCCAGGAGTGAGAGAGGCCCCAAATGCCCTTCTGCCAGACTTCCTGGCCTCTCCCAGGCTCCTGAGACCAGAGCCACCCGATCCCAGCCTTGCTTCTCACCCTGCCAGGGTTGTCATTTCTCCGTGGTGCCACATGTCCTTCCCTAAATAAACCCCACTTGCTGGCCCCCGTCCAGGCTGCAGGATCTCCAGAGATCCCATCTGGGCGGGCACTGAAGGGAAACAGAGCCCCAGAGCTGATCTGGGGTGAGATGGGAGATGTTCCATTAAAAACCCTCCAGAGCCAGCACATCCTGAATCATCAGGAACCCTCCAGAGGAGCTCAGGAGCTGTCAATAAATCCCTGTGTGCAGCCAGGAAGGGACCAGAGGTGAATGGAATCCCTATCCATCACCAGTGAGGATGGGATGATTGGCAGGGATGAGACAGCAGCAGGACTGGGGGTGCTCAGTGGGAATGCCTGTTTCCATAATACTTTGAAAAACTCTGGATTTGCACCTATTTCCAGCTGCAGATGGGTTTTTGGGGTGATAAATGACCCAAAATGACCCTCTGGGGTTTGCAGGGCTTTGAACCTAATGGAACTTTGAAGCCCCTGCAGGACAGGATGCCAGTGTGGCTCCAGGAGGGGACTGGGAATCACCCTCAGCCTGCAGGAAAGGTTTTCCAAAGCTCCCAGCATGGACCACCCCCTGCAGCTGCAAAAGATCATGGAAAGGGATCTTAAAGTGTTGAAAAAGACCTTGAATCTCATGGGCAGGGACACGTCCCACTGTCCCATGGTGCTCCCAGCCTCATCCAGCCTGGCCTTGGGCACTGCCAGGGATCCAGGGGCAGCCCCAGCTGCTCTGGGCACCCTGTGCCAGGGCCTGCCCACCCTCACAGAGAGGAATTTCATCTGAAGATCCTCACAAATCTCGGAGATTTTTTGCACGCTGAGCGATGCTGAGGCTGTGTTCGGGAGGCAGAGCAGGGTCAGGTTTCCCGCATCCCCTCCCCAGCACGGCCGGGCCCCGCACCCTGCTGACCCAGCGCGTCCCCGAGCGGTGCCCGGGCTCGGGGGAGTTTTGCCCGGAGCCGGAGGGTGGCACTGCGGCCCCTCCGCAGCGCCGGCACGGGGGGCTGGCAGCGCTGCAGCGCGGTGTCCCCACGGGCCACCCGGGGTGACAGCGGCCACCGAGCCGGCCCCGAGAGCCGCAGCGAGTGAGGCACGGGTCACACTGCTGCGGGCACTCGGGAAGAGCCGGGACAGCCGGGCAGCCCGGCCAGCTGCGGGTTAACCCGCGCTGGGACGGGAGCCGGGCCGGGCTGGGGCGGGTGCCCGGCGCTGCCCTGCCCGCGTTCCCGATCCTCCGGAGCTGCCGGCACCCCCTGCCTGGGCACAGAGGGTGCCCTGGGCTCCCCTCCGCTGCTTCATCCCGCTCCGGGATGGTCCCGGCACTGCAGCTCGGGCAATTCGCCCTCCCCGTGTCCCGGCACACCGGGAGTCCCCCCTTCCCTGCCTCCACAGGGACCAGGGACACGACGGGGACACGGCGGGGACACGGCAGGGACACGGCGGGGACACGGTGGGGACACGGCAGGGACACGTCAGGGACACGGCGGGGACACGGCGGGGACAGCGCTGGCAGTGAGCAGAGCTGGACAGGGACTGGGGACAAGGCCTGGAGGGACAGGACACAGGGAATGGCTCCCACTGCCAGAGGGCAGGGATGGATGGGCATTGTTCCCTGTGAGGGTGGGCAGGCCCTGGCACAGGGTGCCCAGAGCAGCTGGGGCTGCCCCTGGATCCCTGGCAGTGCCCAAGGCCAGGCTGGACACTGGGGCTGGAGCAGCCTGGGACAGTGGGAGGTGTCCCTGCCATGGCAGGGGTGGCACTGGGTGGGCTTTAAGGTCCCTCTAAACCATTCCCTGATTCTGGGATCCTGTGGTGGGTGAATCCAGCACCACAAGCCAGGACACCTCAAATACCCAAGGGTGGACCAAGCATGGCCCTAATTCCACCCTGGAACCCAAGGACACGTTTTTCCCACCCCGATCAGTGTGGTCAGTACCCCTGGGTGCCCCAAGCTCCCATTCCCATTGGGATTTCCTTGGTTCTGCAGACAGAACTGTGCCCCTGTGCCCTGCTGGGGACCCTCAGTGTACCCCCATCCCACAGGGCAGGAGATACATCCCAGCATTTCCAGCCTCACTCCAGGCCTGCTCTTGGGCTGGGAAAAGCAGAAATGGACCTATGGAACTTCAAAATTCTCCCTGTGGTGACAAGGTTGGGCTTGGGGCAGCTGCTGGGAGCCACCAAACATCCCCTGAATTCCCTGCTGTGACCAGCAGAGCAGTGGAAAGTCCCCACAGGCCCAGCAGGAGGGTGTCCCTGTCCCTGCTGTCCTCAGCAGCCAAACCCTGGGATGCACAGGGAATGCTCTTTGCTCCTGGATCGTGGCTCTTGTTCTGCTGCTCAGCCCCCAGTGGGCTCCTGTTGGATTCAGCCTTTTTCTGACTCAGAGATGGGGTAACTGAGACGTGTTTTAAAAACTTTTATTCCGTTTCCAGTCTCATGTGAAGGGTGAGACAATACAGATCAGAAGCTAACAGTGCACGGGCTGCCAGTGCCAGCCAGGCCTGGGAGCTGCTCTGGGCTCTTCCCTCCCTCCTTGCCTCGGTTTTATGCCCTCTGAGCCTGCTCAGGGCTCCAAGCCAGCCAGCAGAGCCCTGGTTTTCAACTGAAGACATCCAAGAGATGCCTCCCAAAGCTCACCTTTGGCCTCCCCTGCACAGAGCTCGTCCTGCCCCAGCTCATCCTTCCCTGGAGAGCTGAAACGCCTCCTGTTCTGCCTCATTCCCACAGCCCACGCAGGACAGGAAAACCGTGGAGTCAGAAGCAGAATCAGGCCAAGGACCTTCAGCTCCCAGCTCCCTGGTCAGGGCTGCAGGCCTGGCATGGATGTGCTGGCTGTGGAGGATGCTGGAGGGCACAGGGGAGAGGGGCTGGGCAGGGAAGGGGATTCCCATGGCATTCCAGGCTGGGCAAGTCAGGGGATGCAGCTCCACTGAAGCCACCCCAACACTGGGAAGTTTCTCCAGGGTGTTTTGGGACTGAAAAAGCAGAAATTATTCACAGGAACAGTGGTTTTGGGGAGGTGATGAACCCCTCTGACCAGGCTGAGTGCTGGGGTGGCTGCTCCACCCCCAGCACAGCCCTGAGCACCCCAGAAGGGGTGACCCTGCAAGCTGGGTGCCCCTACACCCTCTCCTCCTGGCCCTGGGGGCACCCCGAGCACCCCCAAACCCCAGAAGTGCCTGGGCTTGGCAGGAGAACCCAAAGGCCCCATCAGGAAGCACAAAAGGGGGACAACCCCACGGCACATCCCTGTGTCTGTGTCACCCCGGTTGTGGCTCAGGGGGTCCCCGTGGGCAGGACACGTGGGGGGCATCTGGTGCAAGAGGGTGTGAGGGGGGACAAAACAGTGACAGACACCCCTCGTTTGCCAGCAAGGGGAGGAGCGGGGCCGCTCCTGGGTGCCGGACAACGGGAATGCCGCTCCGAGGAGCCGCGGGCTCGGGGCAGCGCTGGCAGCGGCGTTGGCACCCGGTGCCCCCCCGCCCTCGCAGTTGTCCCTCTGCTCTCCCCAGCGCCTGTCACTGCCGGGGAGACGCTGGCCAGGGTCTCTCCCACCTCCCCTCCACGTCCCGCGTCCCTCGGGGTGCCCGAGCCGGCGGCACACCTGGGGCAGGGCTGCCGGGCAGGGCTGCCCGCGGCCGGGGGCGATGGCACCGCCAGCGCCCTGATTGGCGCGGCACGGAACGAATGCCACAGCTGAGCCGGGCCAGGCTACCTGAAGGAGCCCGCATGTCCTCAGGTTTCACTCATGACCATCTGACAGCAGCAGCAGCTGCGCTGCCAACTCGCCGAGCCAAAGCGTCCAGGAGCCGAAGGAGAGGGAAATTCGGGCCCTAAAAGGTCTCTCCTTGGGATTTCGCACTCTCCACCCAACAGTAAGTACTGGGGTCAGCCCTGGGCGGCTGCCAGGCCCCCGGGCAGGGCGGCAGGGTCGGGGATGTGCGCAGGTTTGTCGCTGTCACCGTGCCTGGAGCGGTGCCGGCAGTGTCCCGGGATTTGCGGTCTGAGCACTGGAGGTGGACGGGACCAGGATGGACTCTGGTGGCTCTGGGGGAGTGTTTAGGGCTGGAGGCAGCTGCTGGACTCCCCTGCATGGAAGACTGTCCAGGACAGGGGACAAAGTCCCCACAAAGGTGCAGGCAGGGCACGGGACAGGGTGGCAGCAGCCAGCGGGCCCTCAGTGGCCACAGGGCTGTGCCAGGCTGAGAGGGGACAGTCAGGGACGTGGCGGGCAATGGGCTCCCGAGCCACCTTGCCGTGTCACTAAAGGAGCCACGGGCAGGGCTCACAAGTCTCAGGCTCCTTTCTCCTGGCTTCTCCTCCTGGAGGTCTAAATATAAACCCCGGCCTGGGCAAGCCAAGGTTGCAGGAAAGGTCTGCGGGTGCTCCCAGTGTCTCCTTTCGGGAAGGGCCCTGTCCCTGCAGAGCCCCCCTGCTCCGTGGGGCGGCAGGGGGGGACCCCCGGGGCAGAGGGGGCGGTGGGACCCCTGTGTCAGGCGGGAACGTCGGGGATGGGGAGCAGGGAAGGGGAGGCTGCTCCCACACTGGGG